ATTTGTTCTAGTGATATCATCCTGACCTATCTGCCATTTTTAATTTTTTCTTTAAAAAGATAAGGTTACACATGCCAAAACATCTTTTATGTCTATTGAGATATATTCTTCTGATTCGGGAAGAACATACAAGCCAGAGCCTGAAAACAAAGGAGTTGTTAATTTATTTTAAATAAATATTTTCTATGTAATTTTCATTTTAAATAAAAATTTAATTTACCTCTTCGTCTTGTCTCTTGGAGAAACACAACTAACAGCTCCTCGCTGTTTCTCGGTGTTAGAGACTTGAGCTACCCTTTCCCCTTTTTGCCACATCGTACTTTTTAAAAAACTCCAGAAACAATTTTGTCCCATGTGGGTTTCTGACCCGGCCTACAGGAGCATATGCATGGGCTTGACTTGTGGAGGTAGTGCTGATAAGTACCTCTCCCTTTGACAGAGGACTAACAAAATGGTGGCTTCGGATTTGATCAATTTGGAGGGCAATCTTGAATCGTTCATTGAGGAAACTGATGCAGGCTTCAACGTCTGCTATGCTCACAAAGCAAACAGTCATCCCAGTATCTCACCTTTACCCCGTCGAAGAGTGCTTCTGCTGTGTGAATGAGCTTTCCCTGGATACTTGCTCTTGCCGCACAACGCTTGAAGGTGCCTCCTACACCATCAGCTGGGCTCTTGCCATGGGACGTTGCAAAAAATACCCACAGAGCTAAAAGATCAAAGTCCTCTTCGTGGAAGGTCAAATTTAGAAGATTATAGCAATTCTTATACTGCTGTGCTGCGCCATCAGAGCAATAGTATACTTTTCTTAGATTAGGAACAGTAGATTTCAAATGCTCAAGAAATTTCTTTTGGAAGGCATAAAAAGCATGCACACCATGTTTGTTAAAATCAGACACAACAACAAAACTATCAACCTTCAGTTCACCCTGTGCATCCTTATAGTAAGTCACAAAGGGGTGCACAGTAGCCTGGTCATTAGACCAATAATGGCTTTGGATTGCATCTTGAATAAGAAAACTGTAGTTTTCAGAAAAGTCACACAGTACTATAGCTTCTCCCTCTTGAATCTCTTCTTTCAACTGTCTCACATATCTTGACTGTTCTTTTGCAATGAAATGGTGAGGGAGCAATTTCTTCAGTTGCTCCATTAACATATCTATAAACGGTACAATATCCTTCACATAAACATCAATATTGCTTCGATCCACAGTACTCCACTGCTTATAGGATACCTTTTCCACTAGATTTTCACTTAGTAAGTCCAAAAGTTGTTCTCTGAAGTTGTCTAGACCAGGACAGTTACTGCAGCAGCCTTTTAAATAACAATCAGCTGTAGGTGGATTGCATAAGACCGAGGACAGAAAATCATGGTAGGTCTCAAGTTTTGGGTCCAATGCTTTGAAATTTGCGCCCTCAATTGCCAGCTTGAAATTCTGGTGATACGTACATACACATATATTGTGTGTGCCTGCTGAACCAGCCAGAACACAGTGTGGTGGTCTCAAATCTGCAAACTTAGAAAAACCTACTTCGGTGTTTGGATGTTTCTCTTTGAAAAGTTCATAAAGTTCACGGACATTATTTAAAAGTAACTTCTTTTGGACGTGAACTCTTTTCACTCCTTCTCTGACACTGAGAAACTTGTTTACTTTTACACTGACAAAGTCTTTCTTCCCTGGTAGTTGTCTGCTAGATTCATCACACTCATAAAATTCCTTTATTTTATCAACTGTTTCTTGTGGAAGACTTTGTCCTTTCTTGGGTAAAGCAACGGGGAACAGACCTTGTTCTTGCATGAGCTGAGAAGATTTTCTAATTAGCCAGTCAGACGCACCGAGAGGAAAAAACATTTCTAGAACTCGCTTCTGAGAAAGACCACTTAATGCTACAGACAAAACTTTAATTTTGTCGGCATATGAGGTGCATTCTTCAAATTTAGTCTTCAATGCTGTAATCACTTTGTTGTTGAAATCTTCAGTAACAATGGTGAGGCACCACCTTTCACCATTAATATTCCTACTTTGTTTTCTATTTTCTTCAACTTGTCCGCAACATATGTACTTGAGGATAGCTTTTTCTTGTCAACAGGTGACTCATTGATGGCTTTCATTGCCACATTTAACATTGCAACAGCCTCTGATGGAGGAATGAATGTCTCACCACTGGACTCAATATCTCCACCATAAGAAGACCCCTGCAATGTAAAACATCAAAACATAAACAGAATATACTTCACACTCTTTCTCTTTCACAAGCTGTAAACTCAATTCCCTGGCGTGGGAAGGGGAAAGGGTTTTATTTAATCAGTGACAGGGACGGCATGAGCATTATCACTGGTGGCTTGGTTTGTTGATGCCTGGGAAGGTCAAAAAAAGGCGACTGTTGAAAACAGTAATTTGAAATATGTAAAGCTTTCTAGGGCCATCATGAGAAGCAAACAGAAGTCACAGATCATAGTTTTACCTTAGGAGCAGGAGAAGGGTTTGTTTCTTCATCAGCGAAAAGATCAACAGATACGTTGGAATTTGGGTCTGACGAGGTGTCAATAATGACTTCCTCAACACACTTCAACTTTGAGTTTATCTCTGCATGACATCTTTTGCATAGGGCTTGGCCAGGTATTAGAACGTTGTTTGGGGAAACAGTTTTGCTTTTTGGGCATCATCCCCGTGATCCTTTTGGTCCCAGCAACCTTTTGTCGTTTTTGGAAGGGATCTGCACAATATTTGTGATGGGATTCGTAAAATGTGATATATTCTGCCCGATGGTTGGAACAAAATTCTTGATCTTTTCCCATTCCACTGCGGGATTTTAGATAAAACGATGGTCTTTCGAAAAACTTTGTACAAAAAAAGTTAGGCCTCCACACTGACTTAGTGTGCTCAGTGAGCATAACGACAGTCTGCAATTGAATAAAAACAATCAGTTTCAAAACCTTCTCACAGGTATCAACGCTTAATTTTACTTAAAACAAACCTTAGCTGACTCATTTCTGCCCGCACACACGCCCACACACGCCACACATGTACCTAACCAACGTTTGAAAATAACAACAGACTGAAGCCAGGGTATGAGAAATTCTTAGTTCTGCATCAGTAATTTTTCATAGATGCCTTTCCCCCTCCAGGGGACGGCGGGAGAGCTCTGGTACGTTGTCAAACCTAGCTTATCAACATAAACAAATGTACAAAAACGTCCGAACACTCCAAAAGTTTAGTGACAACTCACTATTTATGGACTGCAAGATTCAGAAATTCTTAGTGGAAAGAGTAATCAAGTATTTCTTGTTAAAATATGTGCTGTAACATAAGTCCACTTCAAAATCCATTCTCAGGTTAGTCGATTTCTATGAGTGAAAATGTGTCAAAATAAAACAAATTTGTGTAAAGTAACTATGAAAAGATTGCAGGGGCCCCAAAGTAGGCAAATAGAAGAGCGCTTCAGGAGTTTTTTGGGCCCTG